CGAAGGGATAGATTTTTGTCACTGTCCCCAGGGCTTATAGGAGGGGCCTAAGGAATGGTGAGGGGGGTGTCATCTTATTTTGTGTATGTGTGCTCAGTCACATCCGACTCTCGAGACCCTATGGACTGTAGCCACTGGCTCCTCTGTTCACAGGATTCTCCAGGCAAGAATACTGGACTGGGTAGCCATCCCTCCTCCAGGGGATTTTCCCGACCCGGTGATCGAACCCTGTGTCTCTTACATCTCCTGCACTGGCAGGCAGATTCTTTACCACTGCGCCACCTGGGAAGCCCTGTCATCTTACTGCTGTGTCTTAAAACTCCTCAGGGTCTTTTACTTGTCTACAGTGCCCAGTGCAATACCATTTTATGAGCCAACTCCAGGCAGTCGTTGAGGATTCTGAGGCCTCATTCTGGCTGCGTGGGAAAGGATGTCATGACTGATCAGCAATGTCTGCTCCGGGCAAGCAGAGGAGGCATGACAGACGTGTCCAATCTATCTGCAGCTTCTAGAACATAAGGAGCTCAACCTGAGTCATGGAGAAGTCAGTGCAGCCAAAAAGAGCTGGCTGTGATGATGAAGACCATGCACTTCCAGGACACCTGTTGGCTGTCAATGCCAACCATTAGATGACAAAGAGATGTCACCTCTGGCCAACCTGTTATGGCCACCTGAGCATGAAAATTCATGTCCACGTTCATGTTCATGGAAACAGCATCATATTTCACCTCCCGTGTCTGCCATGGACGTGGACTGCAGGAGTGACTGCTTCTTGGATCTTGCTCAGTCTGCAGGGGAACCTCAGGGTTTCTTTGTGTCACGCTGTCCCAAGGTGGAAGACAAAATGCCATTTTGAGTCTGTGGGGTTCTATAAGCCGAGGCATTAGGAGTTAGATCTTTTAGAGGAAGGGTCCAAACCCTTCTGGAGCCTGGCTTCCCTCCCTGGGGCAGGCACACCACAGAGGGTGCAAGAGTGTGCCCAGAACAGAAGGTTACCTCTTCCCAGAGTGGTAACATAAGTAGGATAAAATACTGAAAAACACTTTAAACTAGGTACTTCCTTGGTGGTCCAGTGGTTATGACTCCACCTTTCAATGTAGGGGACGTGGGTTCAATCCCTGGTCAGGGAACTAGGATCTCACATGCCAGGGGGCCAGCCAGTGAAGCCTACAACAACTAGAGAAGCCCACACAACTGAGCCGACTAAGACCTGACACACCCAAAAATAAATCAATATTTTAAAGAAAGCTTTAATAAAAATACTTTATGCATAAAAAAATCAAAATAATTTAAAAATATTTAAAAATTCCCAGAACGGAGTATAAACTACATGGTGGCAGTGGTTTAGTTGCTCAGTCGTGTCTGACTCTTTGCAACCCCAGGGACTGTAGCCCACCAGGCTCCTCTGTCCAGGGGATGTCCCAGGCAAGAATACATACTGAACATGAAATGTGTGCCTTGAGCCCAGTTGTTTACTGAGACTTAGGGGCACATTCCCTCTTCTGTCACCGGGCCAGCAGGCAGGCAGGACATGACTAAAGAGGGCAGGCGGCAGGCACAGCGAAGGATGCTTGTTTGGCTGGGCGCCCCTTCAATGCTACAGGAGGGGCCTCTTAGATGGCTGGGGCAGGCTGGGGATGCTGGGATCAGGGATCCCACCCTAACCTCTTCCCAGCTAGGATGCTGTCCCTCTATGTTCCCCTTGAAATACGTGTTCCAAGGGGGCTCCATCTGGAGGGCTTGAAGCATCATCGTCCCTGGAGGGACCACCTTCAGCAATGGCTAGCACAGGGGCATGTGTTCAAGAACACACATAGGAGAGACTTCCCTGGTGGTCGAGTGATTAGGACTCTGTGCTTCCACTAAAGGGGGTGTGGGTTCCATTCCTGGTTGGGGAACTTAGATCCTACATGCTGTACACTGAGGCCAAAAAATAAGGGGAAAAAAAACTTTTAGAAGAGAACACACAGAGGAAATCCATGGAGCACTGAAGTCCATGGTGAAGCTAGAAGCAGACTCTGGAAGGGGAGGTCCACAAGGACCTCCTTTGTAACTTCGTTTGTAAGCACCTACTATGTGTTAGAGAAGCTTCCCTGATGGCTCAGTGGTGAAAGAAGCCACCTGCAATGCAGCAGACGCATATCCCAGGTGGTGCAGTAGTAAAGAATCTGCCTGCCAATGCAGGAGATGTCAGAGACACAGGTTTGATCCCTGGGTTGAGAAGATCCCCTGGAGGAGAAAACGGCAACCCACTCCAGTATTCTTGCCTGGGAAATCCCACGGACAGAGGAGCCTGGTGGGTTACAGTCCATGGGCTCGCCAAGGGCCAAGAGTTGGACACGAATGAGTGACTGAGCACGCACCATGTATTAGGCTCTTTCAGATATATCACCAAATATGATTTCCACAACAACCCAGCAAAGAAGGCGATAGCTTCCTAAGTTTGAAACAGGGAAAGAGTCTCAGAAGGAGTTAGACGATTCCCTGGAGTAATAATTGACTGTAGCAGAGACTGGTTATAGAGGGACCACTTCCCAGGCTCAAATGTGAATGACCTCATTTAACTGCATCCTCACAATGTGGAACTGGTCATCAGAGATCAGAGTTAAGTGCAGCTATATATATATATTTTTTTTTTTTTTGAGTGCTGACTCTACATCAGGAGTGATTTCCTTTTGGCAACTTCATATGATAGGTGAGAAGAATACAGGTTTCAAAATCAAATGATCTCGGTTTGGAAGACCAGCTCTCCTACCCTGAATTAACCTTGAGTAATTCAAGTTGCTTCTCTGATCTTAAGTTTCCTCATCAGGACAATTATCATCTGTCACCCCGGGAATTAAATGACAGCACATAGAAAATGCTTAGTATACAGTAAGTGCCCAATAAATGGAACTGACTTTCAGGTATGGCTTCTCCTGGGGTTTTATGAATGTGAGAACGGAAGCTCAAAAAGGCATCTCGATGAAATTAAGGTCATCTGACCAGAGGCAGAGCAGGGACTAAATGCTGATCTATCAGATGCAGGCCTCCGGGCTCCTTCTCCCGTGTGGACACAAGATAACTGATTTTCACAGGACTGCTCCCCAGTCATCAAGAACAATCAAGCTTTCTGATCATAAGAAGCACAGAATGCACTTGAGGAATACTTCCTTCCCAAACAAGTGAAATAGTTGAAAATGTTGCCACATTTGATGTTTTGATGTGAACTTCAGTTATCTAAAAAATTCACTGACATGGACCAATTCCAGAGCCTCTGATGCCAAAATTCAGAACCTTTCCGGTCTTTCTCCACATCAGGAGTTATTATAGCATTAGCCTCAGAGTCTTGGAACCTTGCCAATTTTATAAACACTGTTCTTTCTATTGTGGCTGGACAGGATAATTTAGGGACTTTTCCTTGATACCATTTCATTTTCCACTTACATCGTAGAAATACTGTCGAATCTAAATGACACTACACAAACCACCTTGGACTGCAGCTTTTGAGTCTGTGCTGTGATGGTGTGGCCTGGTAGTGTAAATATTTGTTGAAGAAAGATTAACTAGCAGGGCATTATATTCGGAATGGCTGCCTTTTTCATTAACCCTGTAAGGAAATACACTGGAGTGATAGCTAGTCCTCTAAATCACAACTTTCAAGCAGTTAATAGAACATTTCTTTTCAGGCTAATTCAGGTTCGTATTGCTTTTAAAACCCTTTATTTTACCATAACCTTGTCTATCTAAAATGTACATCTTAACGATCTAATGGCTGGAAATTTGCAGTAAATTTCCAAACATATTTGGGTGCAGAGATACATTATACTTCAGGCATTCCTTACTTGAATAGCATTCAGAAATATTAAACACAACTGAAAAAAAAAAGTGACTGGGAAATTAATCACTTGGAATAAGAATATATTAAAGATTATGCAGCATCAACTGACAGCTTACTCACAATATCTCTTTTGGATAAATGTGAAGTCATAGCTTCCAGAATAGATTTCCAGGGTAAGTTTGCACTTGACAATTTTCCTTCTCGTGTGTCCTCAAAGCTGCTACATATCTTAGGTTGACCCATCCCTGAAAATGTAGCTGTAATCCAAATCCAGTTTGTAAATCACATCAAAGGCCTTGGATGTTGGACTTTCTGATGTCCTAAATCCACTGTGCAGGTTTGCAGAGACCACAGATCAGATCATTACAGCTACATTACATTACATTACAATCCATCTCAAGTGATGGATTAAGGAGAAGGAGGCAAAGGACAGGAGACTCAAGGCACCCAACCCCTAATTGCCTGAATCCATGCTTTATGCAAAGGAGTAAGATTGCATCCTAGACACTGATTTTCTGACTGGAATCTGGTGAAGCTCAGGTAAACCCCCATGGTGATTAAGAAGAGCTGCAAGTTGATGCAGAAGTGGACTAACATGAAAACAGACCGGAGACCCTGCCTGGGACTTCATTTCTGGATCCAAAGCCACACGGTGACCTTATTGAGCATCTAGTGAGAAGGTGGATCACCTTGGTCTTTCCTGACAGGTTTTCCTTTCCAGAACTTTCCTTATGGGCCAAGAGACGATTATAAAATTCAGCTCCTTAATGCGTTCTGCCCCCCACCCCCTCAAATCACCCAGACACATTCTCCACTTCTACACTGATGTGGGGAAAAAATATCTGAAACGCTATATGAGGCTGTAGATGAGGACAAAATCAGAGGGAGCCTTGACATTTTAGACAGGCTGCCGCCAACAGAACTTTCCCCAGAAAGTTACATCAAATGTGACCTTCATCAGCTACACTGAGAAGGATCTGCTCCAGGTTACTGTCAGCCACAAGAAGGCACTGAGTTTTAGGCAATGAACTTGAGGAGAACAAATTTCCAACTTTGATTCAGTTTCAACTCAGACTCCCTATAAACCCCTCCCTGGAGAGGCGCCGAGGACCCCAAAGGGAGACGGTACAGCTCGAGGGAGTGACGGTGCTCAGAACACAGCCCAGCGCTCTTCCAGGCTTTAGAGACCCGAGCCCCGCAGCCGAACACGGACTGCTGCAACGCAGAGCCGGCGCGGCTCCCACTCCGGCCGCCCCAAGCTGCTGCTACCTGCCGGCGCCGGGCCGGCCTCCCCTGTCCATCCAGGCGCACCCAGGGCGCCGTGCCACCGGGAGGGGTCCCGGCCCCGAGTGGCCGTGCGGGTCTCCTCGAGGCGGCGGATCTCCTCTAGCAGATCCTCCGCGCGCGGCCGGCCGGCTGGCTCCGCGGCCGGAGACCACCCCTCTTCCCCTAGTGCCCCGCGCGACGCCCCGGTCCCCCGACCGCGCTGCGCCCCGGCCCCGCAGGGACCCGGTGTGCGCCCGCAGTGCTTACCTGGCGAGGCAGTCCAGTGCGCTCGCTGCGGCGCGTGCTGGCCGGTGCCGCGGGGCGCGGGGCACGGGGCGCGGGGGGCGCTGCCCAGGCCGGGCTGGGCGGGCTGCGGCTGAGTCAGCGCCCCGGCGGCGCGGTCGAGCCCCGGCCAGCCGCCGAGAGGGGGCTCTGAGCGGAGCGGCAGCCGTCCTGGCATTTTAAAGGCGAGGCAGCTGGATGCTGTTCAAGCGGAAACGCAGGGAGAAACTTCAGCCCCCGGGGCAGAGCAGAGCGTGGGCCGAGCGGAGGGGGCCCGGGAGCCCCTTGCCGGCGCACACACCAGCCTGGTCTTGTCTGATACGCTCTTCCCAAGCTCTCCCTTCAGATTTTTCCTTTATGGGAAAGCGAACACCTCTCTCAGGGCATCCTCCTTCCTGCATTATGCTTTTTAGTGAGACCAACGTTTGCATCAAAGTTAGGAGCAAGACCAGGAGGCCAGCTGGAAAGTCTGGTGAATGTAATTAGACAAGAGAAGGAAATGGGGGTTAAAACACTGAAGTTGTGCATTTGTAAACAAGCCAGAAATGGGAGGGGGAGCTTTTCAAATATTGGGAGGTAGGAGAAAAACAGTGACTATATGCAGCAGAAGTGATTGTCTAACTGAAAAATCTGAAGATTCAATGAAATAGAAGCCTTTTCCAAGGAACTGGACGATTACAAAGTAAAGATACCAAATTAAGTCTTCTCCTGCATTTACTAACCAGTTGGAAATGCCAGTTGGGGGGGGGGGGGGGAATCCCATTTTTACTACTAACAAAATCGTAAAAAGCTAGGAGTATAAATTTACCAGGCAATATCTTCTACTTGGTAAATTTATATTCTTAACTTTTTATGCTTTTGCTAGTAGTAAGGATGGGATTTTTTTCCCACTGACATTTCTAACTGGTTCGTATTGATAAATGCACAAGAATGTCTTTTGCTTGGGCTTCCCAGGTGGTGCAGTGGTAAAGAATCGGCCTGCTAATGCAGGAAAAACGCGTTAGATCCTTGGGTAGAAGCGATCCCCTGGAGGAGGACATGGCAATTCACTCCAGTATTCTTGCCTGAAAAATCCCATAGACAGAGAGCTTGGCGGGCCACAGTGCATGGGGTTGAAAAGAGACACAACTGAGCAACTGAGCGCGCGCGCGCACACACACACACACACACACACACACACACACACACACACACATCCACATCTTTTACTATGTTAAAAACTACTGCTGTCTACTGGGGTACCACAGAAGACTGGAATCTCTTAAGAGCAGTGCTTACTCTGGGATGAAAAGAGGCAAACATTGTAACCTTGTCAAATTCTCTTTACTTTAAATTCAATACAGTCATCATCAAATTCCAAGTAGAATCTTTTTCACTTGACTTAATGATTCTAGGTCTCCTGTAGAAGTGTAATGACAGAACAGTCAACAAAATGTTGATAAGGAAGAATGTAAGAGAAACTAGGCCTGTTGGATGTTAAAATGAAAGAATGCATAAGTAAATAAATAAAATGCTGCATTGACTGAAGCCTTACCACTTAAGGAAGTGCTTTACATGTATTAATGCAATTTGATGCTCACAACATACCTGTGATGCAGTTACTAATATTGCTGCCATTTCAAGATAAGAAAATGCAGGCTCTGTAGGATAAACAGAATCACACAGCTAGAAGTGCGGGATTATGGATGTGAGGCAGACACGCTGCTTCCATAACCTATGCATCTGTGTTTAAGCCTCCGTCACACTACACTGCCTTTATCACAAAGCAACGGTAATTAAAACAGCATGTTACTGCCCTAGAGATGACTGTTCAGTAGAGCAGGTCGAAGAGCCTAAATTTAGTACATAGGAAACTGTGGTGTTAAAAGGTGGCGCTTCAAGTTGCTAGATAGAGACATTTTCCCAAAAATGATATTGGATTAGTGGAAGCTGATTTTCTACCTAATTCCCTAACCCTAAATAAATTCCAAATCCATCAAATACTAAGTGTGAAAAAGTGAAGCCAAAAAATGATTAGATGACTATATAGGTGAATATTTGTCGTAAACCTGGGATTGTGAAGTTCTTTCTAAATATATCATGAAAACATAAAAGACTGATAGGTATGATTTATTAAAAATCCAAATGTCTTTGTTAAAAAATGCAACATAAAATGAATTAAAAAGTAAATGACAGAGAATTTCCTGGTGGTCCAGTGATTAAGACTCCATGCTTCAGGAGCCACAGGTTTGATTCCTGGTTGGGGAACAAGATCCCACATGCCACATGGCATGGCCAAACTAAAATAATAATAATAATACCATTAAAAATAATAAATTATAAAAATGTAAACCACTTAGCAGGGTGTCAGTGAATGGGCTCAGTCCTCTTGTTGACCTTTCAAAAATGATATTTGCTCAACTGCCCCTACTCACCGTCTACTGGGAGCAAATCAGTGGCATTCCTTGTAAAAGGATGTCCAGTTTCTGCTGAGTTTTTAACTCAGAGGTCGCCATCAACAAAATTAGTTAAGTGTCACTCACTTGCACCTAATTCACCAAGCTGAATCAAGTTCACCAAGCTGTGTGTCATTCTAAACTTCAAAAATTACTAAGCAAAAGAATATAGAGCAGCTAGATAATCTAGTCATTATAAACAAATATTGAATAATATGGAAAAATGCTTCTAGTTTAATATTAAATGATAAAATGCAGCATATAAGCTGTATATCTTATAATCTTAATTTTAGTTTTATTAAAATATACAGTATATGCTTATGCAGATAATTCATAGAAAAAAATACTCTAAGAAACCAAAGCACATCTCTCACAGGTCATTTTTATTGACAATTTTGCCTGAAATTCCACGTTTTCTACAAAGGATAAGTGATGTCTCCTGACAACCTCTTCCAGTGCTGGTGTGTTATTCTGACCTCTAGTAGCCTCTGGTTCTCACTTTCTGACTCAGGAACTGCTAATCTGAAGTGTAATCATAGTCTCCAAAAGCCTGAGGATGGATCTGCTGTCAGGCTGACTAACCATTGTCAATCTAAGTCCTAACAGTTTGTGTTTTCCCTGCAGCCCCAGTTTTGTATTACCTTTAGTAATCAAGAGAATGACAACAGGGACATCACTTGGTGGCTCTTTGAGTGCTAGAGTCGGCTTGCATGGAAGCCTGCGTTCTTTGGAGAGACTACAAGTAGGATCACCTCCTGGTGGCTCAAATGGGAAAGCATCTGCCTACAATGCGGGAGACCCAGGTTTGATCCCTGGGTGTGGAAGATCCCCTGGAGAAGAAAATGGCAACCCACTCCAGCGTTCTTGCCTGGAGAATCCCCATGGACAGAGGAACCTGATGGGCTATAGTCCATGGGGTCACAAAGAGTCAGACATGACTGATCAACTAAAACTTTCACAAGTAGGGTGGCACCAACCTTCTCCTGCAGACTCTGCTCTTCCCTGCTTGGAGATGTCATCACTGGCATCAGTTTGTCCCCCCGACATCCAGTGATGCCATTGAAATCCCAGGGTCTGTTCCCTGGGTGCCTAGTAATTCACAGGTATCAATGCATTGTCTGCAGCAGGTGACAAGCACTATGGCCTCATCAAGAAGCAGGCATGTAGCATCCTGGCTCTCAGTTCCTGCCAGTGGCCCAGGGATCCTTTTACTTCAGTGGTGGGATTTGTAAGCAGACAGTTGGAAAGTATTTCCAAAGTCTCTGACTCTAACCCAGCATGGGATAGATTATGGCTGAAAGCAGTAGGTTTTCCATCTGAGGAGATGCTCAGCAAGACAGTGGAGGGAAGTGGTGGTGTCCTAGGGGCTAGTACAAGCCTACACTAGCTTGCAAGAGCCAATTTTAAATTTTTGGAAAATTTCAAGGCAGTGTGTAAGCCATTGGTGGCTTGAAATCACCTGTAACATTGTTAGCGGTCTTCCCTGGTGGCTCAGTGGTAAAGAATCTGCCTGCCAATGCAGAAGATGCATGTTTGATCCCTGGGTTGGCACGATCTCCTGGGAGAGAAAATGGAAACCCACTCCAGGATTCTCGCCTGGAGAAGCCCATGGGCATAGGAGCCTGGTGGGCTACAGTCTTTGGGGTCGAAAAAGAGTCGGACTGAGCAAATCAACAACAACATCCACGGGAGGATGGCCACTGCCTGGAGGGCTCCCTAGGACAAGGGCTTGGGGCTGGGGAGTGTGTACTGGTTGGTCTCCAAGGCTCCTTCTCTACCCAAGGTTCCTAAATGCCCCAGGCCAGGGCAAGGCAGCCTGCCATCTGTGGCTGGCTGCTTGTGGGTGTCAGTCGACTGAAGTCTTCTCCTGAGTCCCACAAAGGGAGCATAGCCAGAGAAACCAGCTCTGCTGTTGGTGAGGAGGTTCAGAAGACAGAGTCCTCTCTGCCTCCAATCCTCAAGTCATTTTCCATGCGTTTTCTTACTCTCCACTTAGTAGTTCTGGTTCTATCTACAGAATACATTCAGAATTTGACCAACCCTCCAAGCAGCGGTCTGAGCCACCCTCCATAAAAACCTAGCACTGCTGGGACTTCCCTGGTGGTCCTGTGAAGAGTCCAACTTTCAATATTGGGGACATGGGTTCAATCCCCGGTGGGGGAACTAAGGTCCTACATTCTGTGGGGCAACTACTGAGCCTTCAGGCCTCAACCAGAGAGAAGCCCACACCACAATGAAAGATTGCTTAAGCCCCAACTAAGACTCAATGCAGCCAAAAATTAAAAAAAAATATTTTAAAGATAAATAAAACAAAAGCTCTCTTTGAAACAATTGAACAGGGACTTCGCTGGTGGTCCAGTGGTTAAGACTGTGTTCCCAATGCAGGGGGCCTGGATTCAATCCCTGATCAGGGAACTAGATCCCACAGGCTGCAACTAAGACCCAGTGCTGCCAAAACAAAACAAAAAAATGAATAGATGAAAAACCTTCCACTGCTTTGCAAAAATCTTCATGGATTTTCCATTTCCCTCAGCATACTAGTCAAAGTCTTTTGATGTAGGAGATCCCTCTGGTCCTTCTCTACCCTCCCCTCCAGCCCCTTCCACCCTTGCTCCAGCTTCTCCAGCATGAGAGTCAGTAAGCTCTTCTTCTGCATCCTCAGATCCTTCCTGCCCCAGGGGCCTCTGCACGTCCTGCTCCCTCTTACCAGGACCTTTCTGTCATCAGAGATCTACAAGAATAACTCCTTCTCTCTTTCCTTTGCTCAAAGGTCAGATAACTCCTGTGACCACCGTATGCAAAATAGGAGCTTCCCACTCTCTCGCCTACCTTGCTTTGTTTATTTGTAGCATTTATCCTTGATGTGCATGCTCAGCCACGTCTGACTCTTTCCCACCCCATGGACTATAGCCCCCCAGGCTCCTCTGTCTGTGAGATTCCCCAGGTAAGAATACTGGAGTGGGTTACCATTGCCTGTTCCAGGGGATCTTCCCTACTCAGGGATTGAACCCATGTTTCCTGCATTGGCAGGCAGATTCTTTACCACTAGCACCACCGGGGAAGCCCTGCTGTACTTACTTGTATATTTGTTTGTGGTCTGTCTCTTCTGTTGCGTGCATGTTCACACGGGCAGGACACTGTTTTCTTAGGTTCTGTGTCATTAGCGATGGGCCTGAGTTGAGGACCTGGATGCTCAGGTGGGGTACCTGGTGTGGAGGTGAGCCTGTTGCCTTGGTGAGGATGGGGGAGCCCCTGCCTCCCATGCTGGGTGTTAGGCACTGGCAGAGGGTCTGCCTGTGAAAGTTCAGCTGTGAGCTTCTCCGGGTCTGGCCATGTCGTGGCCCAGAGGAAGGCTGCTTGCCTCATAGACCTGAGAAGAGGAGACCTAAAGACCCCCAGGAAAGACCAGAGGGGTCACTTCAGGAGAAACTTGGAAAGGGTTCCCGGGCAGGATTCTGCACGTGACCTGGAACCAGCCCTTTGCTCTCTCTGGTCTCCCTTTCTCCACTGGACTAGAACACCCTTCACTTCAGCTCTGGCGTTCCATCCTGGATGGGCAGAGGAAGCGGCTTTTGAGGGAAAGATTTGGAAAATCCGCAGCTGCTGGCTGTTGTTTGAATCCTGGTAGTGTTTCCGTCTGTGTTCTGGGCTCTCTGCCGCTGCGGCTGAGGCTTGTCTGTAGGGTCAGCTCCCCCGCCCTCTCCCCGAACCCTGGGCTTCAGGGCCAGGACCTTCAGGCTGATTCATGCTCTCAGTGAGCTGGAAGGGCAGCGGGCAGCAGGTTTTGGTGCCAGCCCGTCCCTCCTCTTGGCATTTTCGGAGGGCTGATGGATGACCCAGTCCTTAACGAAGAGGCTCCAGAGAAGGAGATGGTGGTCCTGTCAGCCGGACCAGCTCAAGGCATGCGGGGTCTTTTCTCCTACAAAATCTGTGCAGGCAGGGCAGAGGAGGCAGGAAGTCAGAGCTAGTTGGCAGATGAGGAAATGGAGAGTATAGAGAGGTTAAGTACTTGGTCCAAAGTACTGAGACTTCAGTCTCAACTCCCAGAACTAGGCTGTCTCTTTTGAGTCTTCATCTGAGGCAATTTCTGCCACATTCAAACACCTGACCTGCCAGTGTCACGTTCATCCTCTTGAAGTTTACATTGCAAATGTGTGGCCACATGGCACCAGACCTCCTGGTCTACCACCTCCCTAGGTTCTGCCAAGTCAAGAACTCAGGGTGTTTAGCTTGAAGGGGAAGACTCAAGGGTGTTGCTGCTCAGCATCACTCGGGGCCTGAAACGCAGAGAAGGGAGCAAAGTTTGGAGGAAGTGCAGGAGGGAGGTGTCAGGCCAGCCCGTGGCACTGTTCCTCGTTCCCACAGTCCCCCAAAGAGGGACATGCTGCTCTTCTATAGTCTGACTTCTTCATTCTTCTTTGCTTTGGATTGGAGGAAAGTCACAGAAAGAAGCTGACATTGCAATAGATGTGTGTCTTGGCTGAGCAATGAGATCCTTAGTAGTAGCAGTTTAGTTGCTGTGTAGTGTCCGAGTCTTTGGGACCTCATGGACTGTAGCCCACCAGGCTTCTCTGTCCATGGGATTTCCCAGGCAAGAATACTGCAGTGGGTTTCTATTTCTTCCTCCAGGGGATCTTCCTGACCCAGGGATTGAACCCAGGTCTCCTGAATTAGAGGCAGATTCTTTACTGTCTGACCCACCAGTGAAACCCCAATGAGACCCTTAAGCATGAACAACTGCTGCATGCTTTCCCCTTGAAAGGTAGGGAGAAATCAAGGAGATGCTGCAGGCTTCTCTTCCTCTGGAGCTTAGCAAGGCTCTAAAGGATAAGAAGACCTTTGTAGCCAACTTGGAATTTTAGGGAGCCCCAACTTTTCTCTGTGGTTATCTTCTTGGTGAGGCAGAGAAAAAATAAATCTTAAAAAAGAAATAGGCACATAGTAGAGAACAAACATATGGCTACCCAAAGGGGAAAGGGTAGTGGGAGGAACTGGGAGATTGGGATTGACATATATACACTACTATGTATAAAATAGATAACTACTGTATAGTAGTGTTATTGTCACTCTGCTTATTTAACTTATATGCAGAGTATATCATGAGAAATGCTGGGCTGGATGAAGCATAAGCTGGAATCAAGATTGCTGGGAGAAATATCAACTTCAGATATGCAGATGACACCACCCTTATGGCAGAAAGTGAAGAAGAACTAAAGAGCCTCTTGATGAAAGTGAAAGAAGAGAGTGAAAAAGTTGGCTTAAAGCTCAACATTCAGAAAACTAAGATCATGGCATCTGGTCCCATCACTTCATGGCAAATAGATGGGGAAACTGGCAGACTTTATTTTTGGGGGCTGCAAAATCACTGCAGATAGTGACTGCAGCCATGAAATTAGAAGATGCTTACTCCTTGGAAGGAAAGTAATGAGCAACCTAGACAGCATATTAAAAAGCAGAGACATTACTTTGTCAACAAAGATTCCTCTAGTCAAGGCTACGGTTTTTCCAGTGGTCATGTATGGATGTGAGAGTTGGACTATAAAGAAAACTGAGAGCCAAAAAATTGATGCTTTTGAACTGTGGTGTTGGAGAAGACTCTTGAGAGTCCCTTGGACTGCAAGGAGATCCAAACAGTCCATCCTAAAGGAGATCAGTCCTGAGTGTTCATTGGAAGGACTGATGTTGAAGCTGAAACTCCAATACTTTGGCCACCTGATGTGAAGAGGTGACTCATTTGAGAAGACCCTGATGCTGGGAAAGATGGAGGGCAAGAGGAGAAGGGGACGACAGAGAATAAGATGGTTGGATGGCATCACCGACCCAACGGACATGAGTTTGTGTAAACTCCCGGAGTTGGTGATGGACAGGGAGGCCTGGCGTGCTGCAGTCCATGGGTCACAAAGAGTCGGACACCACTGAGTGACCGAACTGAACTGTACAGCACAGGGAACTCTACTCAGAGCTCTGTGGTGACCTAAACGGGAAGGAAATCTAAAAAAGAGGGGATATATGTATACATATAGCTGGACTTCCCTGATGGCTCAGATGGTAAATCTGCCTACAATTCGGGAGACCTGGGTCCAATCCCTGGGTCTGGAGGATCTCCTGGAGAAGGACAAGGCAACCCACACCAGTACTGTTGCCTGGAAAATCCCATGGACTGAGGAGCCTGGTAGGCTACAGTCTATGGGGTTGCAAAGAATTGGACATGACTGAGCGACTTCACGTTCACTTTCGTTCATAGCCGAGTCGCCTTGCTGTACTAGCAGAAACTGACACAACATTGTAAAGCAACTTTTCTCTGATAAAAGGTAACTAGAAAAAAAAGAAAAGCTTGGACTCCAAATGGTACAGCCACAATGTGGTAGAACTATCAGTCAGGCTCCTTGAGGGTCTATGTGGAGCAGAGCTCCCTGCTGACCCCTACTGGTCATGGACAACTTCAGCAAGAAAAAGATTTCATAGCATTCAACCACTGAGATTTGTTAGTTACATTTTGCACAGCATAACCCAGCCCGGACTATGTCCAAATCCGAGTCTCCTGCATTGGCAGGCAGACTGTTTACCGCTGAGCTCCCAGAGAAGCCCATGTGTGCATATGTGTGTGTATATGTAACTATATGTGTCTATGTGTGTCTGTGTGTGTATATGTGTGTATGTATGTGTGTTGAGAGCTGGTGCTGAGGTGTGTTCCTGCCCCCAAGAAGATTAGGATGAAGTTGGTGCTGCAGAGTCCCGTCTACTGTGAGTCCTCTTTCCCATCCTTGCTGAAGCCTGGAGCTACTCCTCCTCTGAGAACGTGGCCTCCCCATCTCACCTTGTCTTTCAGGCTTCCTTTTGAAGTGGAACTGAGCCCCAGCTTCCCTTCTGCTTTACCCACAGAGACAGGCACGCACTGTTGCTTTAAGGGGCTCCTGGGATGCTCTGGGCAAGCAGAAGGCAATGACAAATGGCTAGGGGTGGGTGGAGTGCAGAGTTTCCGGGACTCACAGAGTTCTCATTATAGTCCAGATCCTAGGTCTGTGGTTCCTGACTCTCCTGCAAGTGGGTCTGGACAGATGCTTCCCAGGAGGCCCTCAAAAGCCCACAGTCCCCTGCAGAACCCTAAGGATCCCCACTCCCAAATGGATCACTTGCCTCATAATCCCCAGGCATCCTGCTCCCCTCGGGGCTGGGTATGAAGGCTCAGCGCCAGGCACCACTGGCATCTCCCCAGATCCTCTGACTCCAGGCTCCAAACCTCAGCATTTTCTGCCAGATGGGGCCCAATTCTAATTCAAGGAAGCTGTGCCCCCATGAAGGTATGAGCCAGCGGAAGACAGGAAGAGCTGAGAGATAAGACTTTTTAAAAGCTTTGAGCTTGAGGTAGGAAAGAAGAGAGGCTGAAATGAAATCTCAGGCCACTCAAATCTCTGTCTGTCATCAATTCTTATCTTCTCCCGTAAGGCTGATGAATTTGTCATTGAAAAGGGTCAGCCAGACAGTAGTGGGGCGAGAGTTCTGGGTACCCTTTACTGTAATTTCTATTGCCATAATCACTGCCGATGTCCCTTCGATGACCTGCCTCCGGAGAGCCTGAACATTCAAATGCAGGGCAATGACCTACCGTCTCTAGCTACAGAAGGAGGGGGAACCCAGTTGTTCGTGTCCGCTGTTCTCTTATTCTGTGCCTGGAAATTTCATATTCCCCACAAGCCTGCCAAAGGATGACAAATATTTCTCTCATTCTCTCTCTCCCTCCCTATCCACACACATATATGCTTCTTCCCTCTTCTCTCTGATTTTGCCTCTGTCTCTCTTTCTCACACACATACATACACACACTCATTTAACAAGTATCTACCAGGTTGCCGTTGTAGATTCATTGAATAAAGAAGACAGAGTCTGTGTTCTCACAAAACGTATAATCCAGTGGATAGAGTTGCATTAAAGAAATGTATACATGCCAAAGAGAAGAACAAAACCTGACTCCACGTTGGATATGTTTCGTCTTCTTTTTTTTTTTTTTTTGAATATGTTTCTTCTACTTTAACCTTTGCTTCCTGTTGCTACTGGTACTCATCACTGAAAGGATGCTGTCTATAGCTATAAGCACATATAATGGCCTGCCTCGGGGAACGCTGCTGCTCTGCCCGAAGTTAAACTAAAGTGCCTTTGTTCAGCCCCCAGGGAGACACCCTGACCCTGCCCACCTGTGAGTGGCTACAGGAAAGAAGGAATTAACACATCCCCATTTAACACATCCTGTCCCCAATGCTGGCCAAGCCAGGAGATGTTTTGTAAGACTCACGACCGTTTTACTTTACCACCTCACGTCCTCCCCTTCTCTGTTCTATAAAAAGTCAGCATCCAGACCCTGGTAAGAT